TCGTCACGTAGATTCTTTCAATCATTCGCTATCCTGGTTTGGCCGTATACGCGATTACGTCAATGATCAGTATTAATAATATCGGTTCAGGGTCCTTACGAAATCGTTACATCGTGATCCTTTGATCTTTAAATATAAATATGACTATGTTTTATGTCGAATCGTTATTATTCATTGTTCATGCGATTATATCAAATATATATGACTTATGATTTAGAAAAATGACTAATTGAAAAGATGAAATTCTCATTGTAAGGAAAAAAGTATTAAGTATTTATCTAACTTATTATTCAAGAATAATAAAATAGTTAATGCCGACTAAAGTTACTCTCGATGAATAACGAGTACGCAGAGTTCAACGTGGAAATTTTAACTATCGGCCAATTCTTGGGACGAGCCCGATTGGCACGATTTCGAGGCAACGAAGAAACTTTTGTAAATTATACGAACCGTACTGTAATGTTATAAACGAGAAATAACAAGATGGCAGTCCATCGCAAGTTTTGTCATTCATTCGGCCGCCAACGCAAAAATAGCATGGGAATAATGAAAATTGGATGGACAACGATCTGTGTTATTTCATCGTTGATATTAATGTCGAAGTAAACGCTTAGTGCGATCTCGATTAATAAAGAAAGAAAGGAAGGAAGGAAGGAAGAGGAAAAAAGAGAAGGAAAAGTGCGAAAAGGAAAAAAAAAAAGGAAAAGAAAAGAATAAAATTTCTTTAAAGACTACGTGATTTACAAACGATCGATATAGTCGAAGATATAGATGTATAATTAAGAAAAAATTAATTCGACGAGCATGACTAATGGGCAACGATATATAACACGTTATAACGAGAATCGATTAAATTCGAACGCGTGAGCGCACTCGCAAGCCGCGTATGTAAACGCGTTTAAAACGAGAAGCCGCGCGTGTCACCGTACGGTACGTGTACGATCATGCGCATTATATTCGTTCTTTTATTAATCTCGGCGTTATGTTGCGAATAATTTACGTGCGTCGCTATGATGGGCGCAATTGAAAACCCATTGACCATAGCACTATAAATGGACATCTTTGAGATTTCATTAAAACCGATTTCCCATTTGCCTTTCGATTTTAATTACCGTTTGACCTTTCAAAATGATTGGATTTGTCTTACGGGATATAAACAAAAAAAAAAAAAAAAAAAAAAAAGAAAAAAGAAAAAGAAACAGCGAAATTAAAATAAGAAATATTTATGTGCATATATACGAAAAGAAAAAAAATCATAAGATTAAACATAACTTTAATATAAACACGTACTATATCCCTTGATTGCCTTTTTCGTTGACCGCTGGTATATCATATACGACTCGATAAAAAAATTTGTTACTTCGACGAAGTAACAAATCTACGAGAAATATCGACTTCCTCGTACTCTTCTCATTCTAGATTGATAAAGAAGAATTGGTTCGTTCTGTCGAATGTTACAATCTCTTGTTTTTCTTTTTTCTTTTTTTTTTTGTTTCTCGTGTCGTGAATTTTCCTTTCGCATTTGCGTGAATCATTCTGAATATGAGATACTTGATAATCGTTATCACGTGGTCCAAGGTTGGCCTCGGTAATTCTCTCTCTCTTTCTCTCTCTCTCTCTCTCTCTCTCTCTCTCTTTCTCTCTCTCTCTTACTTTTTTTATTCCTAAATTTAAACGAGAGAAAAAGAGAAAGATAGAGATAGAGAGAGAGAGAGAGAGAGAGAGAGATTCCTTATGAACTAAAAAACTGTTGCAAGGACGAGAGGAGGAACCATTGAGCCGGACGCGTTAACTTCCGAACATTTTAAAATCGTCTTCGACCTTGAGTATCGATTTCTGATAGGAGTCAACTAAAAAAAAAAAAAAAAAAAAGAAAAAAAAAAGAAAAAAGAGAGAGATAGACGGATAGATAGATAGATAAAGAAGAAGAAGAAAAAAATGAAGGTTTCTCGGCACTGGCACATTTGCCTATAGATAATGATGACATAACGTTTATATGCTTCGACGTTGTAAAAATGAAGAAAAAAGAAAAAAGAGAAAAAAAAGAAAAGAAAAAAGTTTCGAAGGAATTCGTCGAAGCTACTTCTGTCTCTACTCCTCTCTTTTGTACGAGAAAGAAAAATAAATGAAATGTCTACGATCGCGTTAAACGATAACTTGGTCTGATTCCTTCCTTCCTTCCTTCCTTCCTTATTCCTTAAATTTTCTTCACTTTGTAAATCCATTGTGAAAATAATATTGGGGATTTCCTTGATCGTATAATCGAAGTTCCGTCAGAATTTGTCAAAAAGTAAGAATTTCGGATAAAAAACGAAAGAAGCGACAAAAGACAGAGAGGAAGAGAGAACATTACAAAAAAAAAAAAAAAAGAAAGAAAACAACAACAACGAAGAGAAAAATAAATATATAATATAAAAATCAAAGTTAAATAAGAGAGAGAGAGAGAGAGAGAGAGAGAGATAGATAGAGAGAGAGAGAGAGAGAGAGAGAGAGGAAGAAAATATTTTGATCGTTTGGAAAAGGGAGTATATATCAAACACGATATATTTACGTATTCATTACCTTATACACGCGTAACTATCATGATAATAATTTATGAAAGATCGAACGCAATTTGGACGAGGGTAGGAGGGCGAGGTGCGGGAGAAGGGGTGGGGAACAACGCGTACTTGAACTCATCTTCGTCGTTGTCGTTGTAATAGTAATCGTAATCGTCGTAGTGCTGATTCATTTGTCGACGGCGATATCGCGGATCATGATAACAAACGCACACGGCTAAGATAACCTTCCACGAGTCCGCGAAGTATTACTGTTACTGGGTGGGGGTTATAAAATGAAGAAGAGAGGGAGATGGAAACGATCGTGCAAGGCTATTCTCCTCGTGTTGGAATCCGTTTTAGAGGCCTCGCGTTGCGGTCATCGTAATCCATCGATAGAAAACGTGCGAGACCGATCGATCGTATATGTCAGTCGACGAGACAAGGGCAGAGTCGAGAGAGAGAGAGAGAGAAAGAGAGCGAGAGAGAGAGAGAGAGAGAGAGATGAAGATATACATATATATGTATATATATATATATATATATATATATATATGCTTTTATATAATCATATGAATCACGTCACAGATCCTAAGTAAAAAAAAAAAAGAGAAAAAAAAGAAAAAGAGAAAAAAAATATACGTATATACGTATATAAAACAAATGGAAAAAGTAAAGGGGGGAAAGAAAAAAAGGTAAAAGGTCAAAAGAACGTGCGTGCGTGCGCGCGCGTATCTCTTTCACATATGGACATCGATCGAGGGAAGGATCATTGTCGATCATAATCATGACTAAAGCTAAAAGGAACGAACATGTTCGTTTTTTCTTTCTTTTTTCTCTTTTTATTTATTTAAAATTTTCCTCCCACGATTTAATATCTTCGTTGTACCATTATAGACTTAATGTAGTATTTAAGGTGGTCGGCCACGTGTCGACGTTATCGTCATTTCAATCGTAAACAGGAACATTTTTTTTTCTTTAGTGGAAATAAATGTTCATTAATAAATTCTATGAATTCGAAACAGAAGAAGAAAAAAGATAAAAAAAAAAAAAAGAAAAAAAAAAAAAAAGAAAAAGAGAACGGAAGTCGTTTTCCTATCATAATAAGATCGAACGAAAAATTTCCAAAACGAAATTATGCGTGGAGAGGGGAAGGGAAGGAAAACGCTTATACGATAGGATATACTTACATGAGTTAACGGATATACACTTATTTACTTATCGTAAGACGAATTTTTCGATATTGATTCGCAGCAAAAGAAAGAAAAAAAAAATATCTGTCTATTGTCGGGAAGCAAAAAAAGAAAAGAACAACAACAGCGACGGAAGAAAAGAGAAAGAAAGAGAGAGAGAGAGAGAGAGGAGGGGGGGAGAGAGAGAAAAGGAAGAGAGAGAGAAAGCAAAAAAATTACGAGCAATCGTTATTGACTAACGTTACTGATTAATCGTACAATATACGGACACATTGTAATCTTGAAATACAAATTGATTCGTCTTATTTCATGTTTGTCTCTTTTAAAAAAGAAAAAGAAAAAAGTCGACGCAAAACGACGACAATGATAAGAAGGAATCCGTCGATCCAAATACACGCGCTATATATGTTTTGTTCGAAGATGTCGTGAAGTCTTTGAACCGTACAAATTTCAAGGTCACGCGTAGTCGTGGACATGAAACACGTGCGGTAGCGAGAAGGTCGGGAGGGCCGCGGCCGCGGCCGTGGTTGCGGTTGCCGTAAATCGTACGATCGTTCGGTATTTCTCATCGGCTGGTCCTTGAAATTGAGTGAGAAAGGAGATGAGAGAGAGAAAGAGAGAAAGAGAGAGAGAGAGAGAGAGAGAGAGAGAGAGAGAGAGAAAGAAGGAGAGGGAGAGAAAGACAGAGATAGATAGAGAGAGAAAGAGAGAAGATAAAGATAGCAGATGGATAGAAAAGTTGAAGAGACGCACGAGTAACAGACATAAAGGCAAGCAGCCAATCCAGGAAGAAGAGACATGAAAGAAGACAGAAAAATAAGGAAAAAAAAATAAAAAATAATAATAATAATAAAATGAAGGAAAGGAGAATAACGTATGCACGTGTTAGCCTACGACACGCGTTAAGATTCGAGTAATTATCATAATAAAAATATAAAAGAGAGAGAGAGAGAGAGAGAGAGAGAAAGAGAGAAAGAGAAAGGATAAATTGAAAAGAATTTCTGATAGAAAATGAGGAAGAGAGAATAAAAGAACAAAAAAAAAGTGTTATTCGAATAACAAGATAAAATCAATCAATCAATCCAATGTAATGAGTATATTTTTAATCAATCAAATTAAAACACTTCATTCATCGCAAGTATATGCTACACACCATCGCACATCCGATATTATACATAAATATTACTGATAATATTATTAATATAATAATAATAATAATAATAATAATAATAATAATAATAATAATAATAATAATAATAATAATAATAATAATCGGTCTATATATAAAGTATCTATCTAATGATATGAATCCGATTCGCTCGAAGGTCTCGAATTAAGAAATAAAAAAAGATAGACGAAAGCAATGTCTTTTCGGCGCTATCCAAGGATCGTGATTTAGTCAAGGACACATTACCACGCGTAAAGGTGAGCTTTTTCATCTTTCTTTTTGTTTTTTTTTTCTCAAGATGCCTGGACGAGTCTAAGAAAAAAAAAAAGAGAGAAAAAAATAAGGAAAAGAAAATATAAAAATAGAAAAAAAAACGGCTCTTTTTTCCTCGTTGTTTGCTTTTATTTTTTCATTTTTTTTTCTTTTTTCTTTTTTTTTTTTTTTTTTTTTTTTTTTTTTTTTTTTTTTTTTTTATACACGATCTTATTTACGTCAAAATCGTGTTACAGTAGTCGTTCGTCGGTGTTATCAAAGAGAACGAGAGAGAGAGAGAGAGAGATAGAGGATGATCGATGGGGGGATTAGATCTTCCGATCGTCAGACATGGATCGGACGATTTCATTTCGTAATAATTCTGCGAGGTTTTTCGTATCTCAAAAATTGAAAATGTTCACGGTACGAGGTTGAAGAAAAGAAAAGAACAGAAAAGAAAAGAACAGAAAAAGAAAGGAGAGCAAAAAGAAAAGGAGGAAGAAAAAGAGAAAAGGAAAAAATCCATTTCCAACCACGTCCATTTCTCTTCCTTCTCGGGAATCTCTTTCTGTCGAGAAGACATTCTCGAGGGAGAAGAAGAGAAACGGGAAAGGAAAGATGAGGTTAAATAAGAAAAAAAAAAAAAAAAAAAAAAAAAAGAAGAAGAAGAAATGAGACTTTACCCACGACGAGAATAAGGAAATTCGTTCTCGATTAATTTTCCTTTTTATAAATGAGATATTTGATTCGATCGTTGACCATGAAGAATGTTGTAATGTATCGGCGTAATAATAGTCGTCGTTGGTCATAGTGTCGTAATAAGGACTGAGCGTGTGAACGATGGCCACCTGTGATCAAATGGCCTTGTCCTTGTACGGATCATCGTTGTCAAGTATTACCGTGAATGCATGCATAAGCGCGAGATAATAACGTTAAGGAACCAAACGTCAAACGAGTGCATCTACGAGAGTGTTATGCTTTCACGCATGGAAAAAAAAGAATTTCGATCTTTTTTCGTCACGTAGGGGAAAAAGAAAAAAAAAAAAATAGAAGAGAGAGAAAAAAGAGGAAAACGAAAAAAAAAAAAGAAATAAGAAAAAAGAAGGAAGAAAAAAAAAAAGGAACATGAAAGAAAAGTAAACTAAAAGATAAACAAACAAATTTACGGTAAAGGAAAAAAAAAAAAAAGAAGAGATTTGTCAATCAACGAAGTGACCTCGTCGTAATAGCATTATTCTCGAACGTTTTTTTAAGAGCATTGTCGTCATTGCGTATACAAAGTTACGTCGAAAAATTATCACGATTTACGTGATTACGTTTGATGCTTACGTGACGCGTTATACGATTATTAATTCGTAGCGTGCTAAAGTCCTTTTCCTTTATTTTATTTTCTTTTTTTTTTTTTCTTTTTTTTTTTTTTTTTTTTTTTTTCTTTTTTTCCTTAACTTGTTGTCTATGACACGTGAAAAAACGTTTGCGTTATTAAAGAGATCCTGTTTTTCGCGCGCGATAAGATCAAAAGATTGAATACGTGTCTTCTTACGTCGTTCAAGGTAAGGAAAATGATTTAAGATTTTAATAGCCAAATCTTTCGAATTTATTCTAGCTATCTAATTATTGTTTGTTATCGTTCGTCAGTTAAATGAAAAAAAAAAAAAAAAAAATATATATATATATATATATATATACAAGATTATTTCTAAAAAATGTTAACAAGAAAAAAAATATCTAAACAAAATAAAAGATCATTATTTCTTTGATTTAGCCTGAATTGTTAGGATATTCTTAAAAAAAAAAAAAAAAAAGAAAAAAAAACATTATACGCACGCACGTAAACTTTTTGTTCTTCCAAGAAGCCGATAATGATTTTACACTGCGCACATAACGTACGATCGCAATAAAGGAAGAGGAAGAAGAAAGAAGAAGGAAAAAAAAGACCAGAGAGAGAGAGAGAGAGAGAGGGAGGAAAAAAAAAGAAAAAAGAGCAAGATTATGCAGCACGTCTCGCGTAACATTATGCAATGTTACGAGAGGAAAGGAGAGGAAAGGAGAGGAGAACGGTGGAAGAAGAAGAGAGGAGAGGAGAGAAGAGTGTTGTTTCTTCGAGCCCCAAGGCCGAGGGTGCGCGTGCTCTTCTCGTTGCTATGTATATGATGATATTAACGAACGAGAATCGCCAAGCTGATCCTCGCGTTTCTCTTCGTCTCGAATTTCTGTCGAGGCAAGCACGACTCCCTTCATTTTCTCGTAGGACCCGACCTCGAACTTACATCTCCGAAGAAGAAGAAGAAGAAGAAGAAGAAGAAGAAGAAAAAGGAACCATTTTTTTCCTTCCTTTCTTCCGTCCTTCTTTTATTTCTTTCTTTTTTTTTGTTTTCTTTTTATTTATTTGCTTCCTTCTCTCCTAGATTATCCGTTAGGTTATCTTCCATCGTCTCTTCCATCGTCACCTTTTGTCTAATCTAAAAAGACCTTCCTATGAATGCACTTCATTTATAGTTGAATTATTTTTCTAATTATTAATATATATATATATATATATATATATATATATATATATATATACGTATGTTCTCTTAACTGATTCCTTAATCTCGAAATATTTAAATGATACGAGAAAATATACTTTTGAAATAATCTTAATGCGTTTTCATTAGAAAGATTCTTTTATAAACATATCCGCGTAAAAATATTTGCTAATGTAATTTATCGTGTTAATGAATATATATATATATATATATATATATTCATTAACATTTTGATTGGTTCTGTTTTATTTTTTTATAATTATATAAAATCGATATCCATGTTAGTACATATTATATTATTATTAATTATGAAAGTATTCATCAATTTCTTAATTAATATATCGCAACACTTTTAACGTGTTTTCAACTATAATCATTTTATAAACATTTAATGCAAGTATAGATGTAGAATTATAAGCGATTAACAGATGTATAGATATAAACAGGAGATATTTAATTGCCCATTTTGATAAATACAGAATACTCTTATATATATATATATATATATATATATATATATATATATATATATATATATATCATTTATACATGTACATCATCATAATAAATTATACATTAATTAAATAAAACATTATTTTTAGAAATAACTTTATAATAAGTAGGTATTTGGATATTGAAAAATATCAAGGATAAGTTTTTTATTCGGATACATATAAAGTAATATATTTACGTACGTAAATATATATATATATATATATATATATATATATATATATATATTTGTGACGATCTAAATTCATTCTACTTCCTACAAGAACGACAATTGTATTTGAAATAAAATTTTGAAACTCTACGATCGTTTCACGGATGGAAATAAAATTAAATAAATATAAATGACGAGGAATTTCCGAAAAACGGATCACGTAAGTATTTACTTATAAAATATATATATATATATATATATATATATATAACCTATGTTGATTGGAGATAGCGTTGAATCGCAAGAATGTACGAACTGGCGTGAGAAACTTTCGAAGAATCGGAACGATGTCGTAACTACACGAGAGCGGTATGCTTTTCACGAGATAATGGCGTTTGCTTCTCATACACGTACGATGCACCGCTAAATATCCGTGGAATTTATCGAGATTAATTATCACGCATGTAATTAGGTTGATCCTTAAAAAATACGCATACACACATACATATATATATATATACACATATACATATAACATTTTCAATGAAATATTTTTCATTTATTCATTTATTGCGAATAAGACTTAAGTAACTTACTAAGAGAGTTCGTCAGTTCAACGAGCGAGAATAAAGAACGAGACGAAAGAGAAAGACAGAGAGAGAGAGAAAGAGAGAGAGAGAGAGAGAGAGAGAGAGAGAGAGAGAGAGAGAGAGAGAGAGAGAGAGAGAGAGAGAGAGAGAGAGAGTAAAAGGCAGGCGCAGTCGATGCACGCGATGCGTCTAAACCAAGAAGAGCACGTGAGAACCAGTTTGGATCCAGTTCCACCGTTGCACCGGCTGCCGGTCGCATCGATCGCTCCTCAAGGCCGCGTCTTATTCGGGCAAGGCCAAGGTCGTTGGCTTGCATTACGAGCGAAGGTGCTATTGCGATTTCTCGATGCATCGAAAGATAGATAGATAGATAGATAGACAGAGAGAGAAAGAGAAAAAAAGAGAGGATACTATGGATCTTCATGAATCTTCAAATAATTAAATCACTCATAATCTATAATTATACGATTACATAAATCGCTTTTTTCATGTGAAAAATTTATTTAATATATATATATATATATATATATATATATATATATATATATATATATTAAAATATAATACTTGAACAAGATGCAATCCGACCTGATGTAATATTAATGAGACAAATGTCATTGATTCCGTCCTATATATTTATTTATACTCATGCATTCATGGAAATATCTACTTTTTAATGCATATTCGATTGAAAATATGTCAACGACTGAATATATCATTCGCATATATTATATTGTATTAATATAAAAGAATTATATGAAAAATTCATAGAATGTTCTTATTGATTAATCATTTATTATCGGATTTATGAATGATCCAAAATTTTCTTGAGATAAGTTCTCTCTCTCTCTCTCTCTCTCTCTCTTTTTTTCTGTCTCTCTCATTTGAGAAAGAAGAAAAAATCCTCTTTTTCTTTTCTTTTCTTTTTTTTTTTCTTTTTTCTTTCTTTCCTTTTAGTTCTTCTTCGAATCGGCGTTGAAAAGAAAAAAAAAAAAAAAAAAAAGAAAAAAAAAGAAAGAAGAAGTAAAGAAAGAAAGAGGAAGAAAAAAAGAAGAAGTAGAAGAAGAAAAAAAGAAGTTTATCTTTCGAATCAATGGCGAGGTACTCCTTTGAAGAAATAAATGAACGAAGGAAAGGAATACGGCCACCCGTGCGGGTTCAATCTGTTCGCCTTCAAGCTCGCGCGAAAATAGACCCGGAAGCGACCGATAAAAAGAGCAAAGAGAAAAAGAGAGATAGAGAGAGAGAGAGAGAGAGAGAGAGAGAGGCACGTGTTAACTCGCGTGGCCTTGACTCGGCCTTATCGCAAGCTCATCTATCGACGACGTGCGTGAAGTTATTTTCACGTGGTTGAGAAAGAAGAAAAAAAGCAAAAGGAGAAAAAGAAAAGGAAAAGACGAAGCGTAATATAACGAAAAGAAAAGAAAAGAAAGAAAAAAAAAAAAAGAAAAACAGAAAAAAGCAAAAAAAAATTTATGTGAAGAAAGAGATTCACACGACTGTATCCTCTTATCGATCTATCGCATCATCTCGAACGTGTCCATTTCATTTCTTTTCTTTCCTTCTTTTTTTTGTTTTTTTTCTTTTTTCCTATTCTTTTTCTTTTTTTTTCTTCTACTCCACGTCGTCGTCCAACGTGTTATTAAACAAAAGGCGGAATAAAAAAAAGGAAGAAGACAAGGAAAAAAAAATAGAAAAAAAAAAGAAAACAAAACGCAAAATGAACGAAAAATAAATTAAGTACGAACTAAGAGAATTACCCGTCCTCCTTTGCTTTTCTTTTTTCTCTTTCCTATTTTTTTTTTTTTCTTTCTCTTCTTTTCTCTTCTCTTTTTCCCTTTTTTTTTTCTTTTCCTTTAGGATATAATTTCGTGATT